TTTTAAGAGTCTTTCCTTAAAACCAAAAATATGGATTTTCTTATTGAAGGTAAATTCAGGTTTTCAAAGGATGCATAATTTAGATGCTTTTGTTTTATTTTAAATTATGAAACAGTTTTCATCTCCCTTTCAACCTGTTCAATAAGTAGTAAGGGAAGGAGATTACAATTTTTTTGCTCTTCAACAAGTGGGATCATTTCCTTCTGATACAGTTTCTAACTTTTGGCACAAGCAGACAGCACATATTTGAGCATTCTCACCTTCTTTCAGGCACAAGAACTTAGAGCTTGTTGGAAGTGTCCTCCTCACTCTTAAGATTCATCCTCCTCCTCCAGTCCACCCTCAGTCAAATCCCAGTACCTTTCACAAAATCTGGCTGCAATAATAATAACTCTTCCAGATGCACTGTGAATTCTTCATTTCGTTTTTCCTCCAGAACATACCATACTTTGGCACTGCTTACAACCAGATGTTAAATTACTCAGGTTTCCATAGCCTACAACTTAAATCAAGTGCCATAAGAGCAAATTTGACTTCTGAAGTGGTTTGCCAGTTACCAATTTTCACTTAGTATCATCTGGAGCAAGGAAAAAGCTGCTGTATTACAGGCAATTTTCTGCCTAGACAACTTTGTGTGAGGAAGAAGAAAGCAAAGAGATCAATGAACATTCTTGTTAACTGGATAATTCCCTTTCTTGAGTTCTAGAACAGACACACACTTCCCTCTCCCCTCTATGGAGTAAATAATGAGCCATCATTAATTTATTTAGGAAATCTGTTTTCAGTGAAACCTCCCTTCATTAATTTCCTCAACTCTCAGCTGCCAGCACCTAGAATATTCAAGGTCAACATGCAGTGAAGATACCTCAGGGCTTCCAAATACTCACTAAGGCTAATTTTAAAAGTCATCTATCAGGGCTTTGATTTTTTTTTTTTTTTTTGCAACCTGTATCTGACATGGTGTGTGTTTCCATGCAGGTTATTTTTAGGTGCTTATTAGCTAATAGTGATGAACAATTTTTCTCAAATTTTGCTTCTCCAACCTTAGGCTACACTATCCCAGTGACAAAAAGATTAGCTGAAAAGATGTTTAAAGAAAACACAGTTTGTCAAATTGCCAGCAGAAATGCATCACTCTGTTGGCATCGCTATGGACTGGATGATACCAAACGCCCACCAAGACAGGATAGGTATCAGTACAAACCACAGTCTATGGACTACCTGCAAGCATATGGTTCGAGCAAATCTGATGCACATACACTGATATAGCCACATGTAAATGATATGCTACATAAGTCACCTCTGAATTTCACTCATACTGATTTTTCTCCCCTTTAACACAAATTGGCTTTAACATATGGCAATTAAAACTAACCTAGCCAGTGGGAAAACACCTGTGTAAACCTCTCATTACCTGACAGCTTATACTACTCATATCACATGTTAAGAATTCAACATGTTGTCTGAGGTAGATTATTTTTGTGATGTTCCACAATCAATGGACATTCACCAAATCACTTGCCTCTTTCCTTAATTCCAAGTTTTAACATTACTGATTAGCTTTGTGGAACAACCAGTTTCAAGACATAACAGCCAAGATGTATTTTACCTAAAGCTCCATTCACAACTGACTGAAAAATACTATTTATAATTTATAGCCACTGGCAGATCTACATCAGAGAGCTCCTTGGAAGCAATTATCTGTTATACTTTGCTGAATGGAGTATACAGTATGTTCCCAAAGCTTAAATTTTTACAGAATTTACTGATTCCTTAAGTTTGTTATTCAAACTAATTACTCTGATCGCATTCATCAAGAGGACCACAGGCCTGGTATTTTGAGAATTTTAATCCTGAAACTAACAGGATTCACAGGAACTAATAGATACTTAAGATTTTACAAGGAACTGAGCTTCTCAAATTCTGTCAAAGCAAAGTCCTTACAACGAAAGTAGCTATGAGGAATGAGAAATAGTGTTCCTATGCAACCTCTAGTCTATTCCGCTAGAGATTAGTAATACTTCTAGCAGGCAGAAGATGCATATATACAGAAAGGAATGCATATTAAGCCCAAAGCTGAAGCCCAAAGATCTAGGTCTTATTCTCAGGGCTATCAATAATTCATTAGTGACCTTTGAAAGGTACTGGAGTATTCTCCAAATAGAACTAATAAAATACTCATTCATTAACAAGCTTGCTGAACTCATTAAAATTAGTAAACTGCTTCAAAGTTCAGAAATTTTAAAGTTTGCTTCCAGCAATAACCTTAACAGTTAAGCTTAATTAATCCAAAAATCTGCTCCTTATTAGTAATGGAGATAACCACAGCTAAATGAACACACGACTTAAGAGCAGAATAAATGTACCTATTTTGTTAAAAAGGTCCTAGAGAGGGTAGGGAAAGGGAAGAAAAAAAGACTCAAAAACAAGGATTTTAAAGAAGGTAAAAAGAACAGATGCCACAAAGAATTCTACCCCATATGTGATCTTAAGATATCTAGAGTATCTTAAAATGCATCAAGAAATTAACACATTTAAAATGGTCCCTGTTAGAGAATAGAAGAGCAAAAGGAAAGGAGGGTTGCAGTGCATGATGTTGCATTTCTTTGCAGCAAAAAAAAAAAAAAAAATGATGCATGAGCCATAAGCAAGTATATTATTAATCTCAACACAGCAAGAAGAAAAATAATCATAAATAGCAAATTTATTCATTATTTCTACTTTGACAGCTTCTTCACTCTGCTGAGATTAAACATCACATAAAACAGCACTAGAAATTCAATCACTGATATATCTACTCCAGGTCAGTCTGCACAACAGAAACCAGCACAGGTCCCCCAGAATAAATCTCCCAGTGTTTATATTCCTATTAACCTTGAAACATTCAGTCTGGAGCCGGGCAGAGGTCAGCCATTCCAGTGTATACAAGTCTATGAAGATGTTAGGATATTCCTATCAACTTCACCCTTTCCAATTCTTTACTGAAAATTTACAAGATACCATGCCTAATTTTAAATGCCTACTTTCCTTTATTAATTTCCCTTCTATTTTATTTTTTGAAACCGCAATCCATGTGGAAAGACATCTCAAATTTCATATTCTGAAGGTAGATTTCTAGTACTAGTAGTAAGGAAGAAAACTTCACAGAGATCACCTTACAAGTTTGGAAACAAGACAAATCAGAAACTGCTCAGCATACATAATAGTGGGTTTGTTTGTTTTTTTTTTTTTGTTTTTTTTTTGTTTTGTTTTTTTGTTTTGTTTTGTTTGTTTGTTTTTTAAGAAAGTCAACCCTTCATCCTCTTTTTCCTGAGATTTTATTGCTGAGTACAACTTCATAGAGTATGGAACATCCTTTTGATCATTTTGGGTCTGCTGTTATATTTTGCTCCCTCCTAAACTCCTCCCCAGTCCCAGCCTACTCTGGTAGCAAGACTGGAAGAAGGAAGCCTTGATACAATGCAAGCACTTCTCAGCAGCAGTCAGAACGCTGTTACCAACAGTCTTAACTCCAAACATAGGGCACCATACTATATTTCTGCTGCAAATAAAATTAACTTTGTAACTTCATCCCAGGTAAATATACATAAGGAAAGTTTTAAACCTAGTTTGGAGTACTTGCCCCTAGGAGTTACTTTTCTTTGTTTTTAAAATGGAACTGCAGGGATCCAACTGTACTCTTCCAGTGTCCATACTCTTCTTCTAAGGAGAAACACTTAGAGCCATACCCTTATTTTCAAACACTTATCTGCAGAGTAAGTACAGCAGAGCATGGATAGGATGGTTTCATAAAATGAAAGGGAAAGTGGGAAAACCTTTCATTCTTGAAGGTTTGTCTTAGACTAATGCTTCCATTCCTTGGGAATCCTCACCATAATGTTACTTCTCACTCAACCTACCTTCTTACCAAAACCAATAAAGTTATAGTTGGTTATAGTTATAGTCCAATAAAGTTAAAGTTGGTTCTCCTATGCTCTGCGCTTCTTTTTCTCTTACGTTTTCAGCCTCAGCTGCAAATGCCCTCCATCAGTGGTTCAAGGCCAGATTTAAGCCCAATTGCTTTAAAAGAGCAAAAGGAATGATTTAAGAGTTTCATCATCAGGCTTACATAATTAGACTTCTTAACTCATTGTCAAGGCCTGAAACCACCTTTCATTCTTCTAAGGCAGCTGTAGGACAAGTACTTATAAATATGCTCTACAGCCAGAATCATTTCTGACAAAAGCTTCAGAAGAAAGATATCTCCTAGCATTTTTCATAGAGTCCAGATTTGTGTTTATAATTTCAGTCAATGTAGTCCTAATACCCATGCCAGAACACTTGTTTGGATTTTATTAACCCCATGTGTATTAAGTTGAAAATTGCCTAGTGATCCACTAGAATAGAGAGCAGTATATAAATTGCTTTATTATTTACACCATATTTAGGGCTAGTTTTTAACCAAAACAATTAAATGGAAAGATAAACCCTCACAAATACACACTCCAGCATTTGTCAGTATCAATTAAGCACACTAGATCAAAGCAACTGAAGAAACAGAGCAAGTCTGTTTTTAAAGTGCATCAGATATCCCCACACTGAGTTGACAACTGAGTATGTGCCATCAAGCTTTGCCAAACAAAACCAAAACTGATCCACTGTGGTCACTGATAGTTAGTCTGCAGTAACTCTCTTAGATCTTGAGATTGGTTTTCTAGCTTTTTCTGAAATTTAAGTGCTGTCTTCAAGTGTTGCTGTGGAAACATTGCTTCCACAAATTAGTTGACACTAGAACATCTGATTTATTAAAGAGTCTAGCTTGCTGTACAGAAGTAGCATTTCTACAAACATAAACAAGTAGCTAAAACGTTAGTTTCTGTAAGATCGAGTTAATTAGCACAAGTACATTACTGAATTCTCACAGCAGGGACCTTGCAGGTAGAACTTACATGGATGCAGCCAGCTCAAACAACGTACATAGTTTAAGTAAGCAGTTGCCATAAAGGATATTTTTACACTACCTGAGGTGTAAGCTTTAAAACCAAGCTTTTCAGTCCTCTCTATTTCCATACGTGTTGTTGCACTGCCATCAAGTGGGGAACACGCAAAGAAGGACAAAATGGTATGAAGATGTTCAAACAGAGACTAAAAGAAGGAAAAGAGGCTGAAATAAGCAAAACTTCTGAATTTCCAATTACAATAGTCATATTTCAGGAGGCAATTCCAAAGTAATATTCAGAAATCTGTGTAATTGGAATATCATTTCTACCCATAAACCAACACCAGACTGAGTATCAGTGAGCAATGTGACAGGCATGAAAAATCTGTGACCAGATTGCAAATAGATACAGACATATTACTCTGAGTTATCTGAAGGCCTATATGCATAGAATTTTTTCCAGAGGAAAAATTAGGTTAACTTCAACAAGTAAATCACCAGCTGTGAAAGAAAAAGTGCTCCAAAGTACACAGTGCTCAAAAGGCACACAACTGCAGATGTATCCTCCCTGCCTTCTTTTGAGTTAGTCTAGTTCTAGCTATGTGAACTTAGCTGAAGGGCAAGAATTTGGCCATCAAGTAAATTAAAATTAGTGACTCATTTATATCAGTAGTTTTAATTAACGTGAGAATGCAGTACCCAATGTAACTTACAACCTGTAAAAAGGGTTTTAATTTCTTCATCTTCCCACTGTAAAGCCTAAAGTTTTTCTAACATAACTGCAAGTACAGCAAGAGGAATGTTGCTGAATTCTTGGCCAGCTGCAGCCCTGGGCAATGTTCTACCTTAAGACAGTGCAATTGCTGCACAGCTGGCACTGAACAGGCAGCAGAAGGGAAAATTCCTGAGTACACTTTAGTCCTCAGTATTCACACTGTCAAGCCTTCGTGGATGACAGGAAAGTTACGAGGTTTTGAGAGATTAATAACAATATTTATTCCCCCAACTGTCTTTAGCCAATGGACTTTAGATAAATGGCACAGAAATGAGACTGATTTTTTTTTTTAAGAAGTACTTCATCATCAAATGGAGTTATCCATGTCTTATGAGTCCAAATGTGCATCATATGTTATTGAGCATGCTTCCTGTCAACTAAGGTTCAAAGGAAGATGGTCATATTTTGGCAGCTGGTTGCAAATTGTGCCAAGCTGCACAATAGGAAAAATGTTGTGTGTTGCATTCTTTTCAACGTTTGCTAACTGGATGACCAGCAAACTTTCTCTTACAGTCTGTTTTAGAAGACCAAAGTTCATCCCTTCTAAACCCATCCTAGAAAGGCAGAATAGCATTTCAGAGGTCAATGTTTTCATGACAGATGTTTTTCATATATTGATCTATGTTTAATGATTTACAATGATACAAAGAAAACTTTTCAGGAAACCAAAAATCCATCCCACAGATTTTGCATGACATCCTTCCTTTGATGGACTAACAAGAACTTCAAGCAGTTCACTCAACTCATCTAACTCACTATTAAACTGGCCAGAGATATGCATGGTTGAGACTTGTCACAATCATTATTTGTCCCATATATTATGTATGTTTATAATCCACTTAAGAGTTTGGTCCTAAGTACTTCAGAGACTTTATTTCATTATAAGTGGTTTTGCAATAGCCAGAAACTTGCCCAGAGTAGTACCTTTTCACTTAAGTGGCTGATGAGCAAGAATTCATGCTATAGCATATCTGCATCTAACAGCAAACACTTGGGAAATATGAGAAGGTGTCAGTACTCAGTAGTAGGATCATATGTGACAATATATGACAATAGTGACAATGCTGCAAGCACCATCTGTCCTCTAAAAGTAGCAGTAGCTGTCTATTGCCTGGGACCTTCACAGCCTAAGAAACAAACAGGCCCAAGATCAGCCAGCAGATCAGCCTGCTTCTGAATTTGTTTAAATCCAAGTAACCTTATACCTTGTAGCTATAAAGTAGACAATGAAAAAGCAGATCTGTATTAAAGCATGGACGAATAGTCCTGGAAACTTCAGCTTTTCTTCTAAGAAATTCCAGCTGAGCAGAATCCGCTTATCAATGGATTTCTGCAGTGAAAGCTCCTCCCTGTTTGTGCAGCCCAATCAACAGAAGGATGGATTAAACTTCAGTTTCTCTGACATTAAGTGCTGCCCATCCCTAAGCTACCTGAAGTCTCTGACATTTGTCACTCTGAGCAGAGCATCCCCCTCCAGCTCTTTAGACAGACCTCAATCCAAAAATCCTTCAGCTAGAGATCAGAGATAATGCAAGATGAAAGTTCCCTAATGCTCACTTTTAATACAAGAATGTATACTAGTAATAAAAAGCATTGACAAACCATCCATAATTCCACTGCAAAATTAATTAAATTGCTTATAATCAGACTGAAGTGATTTCCAGCTATTTTATGCTGCTCATTTAACTCAAAATATTTCAATAGTAAGATTTGTTATGAAGTACTAAAGGCACAGAGTCACTAAGTAAAGTTTCTTCCAGTTCTCCACCTACTAGATGGTTATTATTCTTAATAATGCATTCACAGACAGAAAGCACTTTTCTTCCTATTTTGATAGAGCATGCAGCCTTTTAGACTTCCCCTTATAACCTGTCCCCAGTCACAAATCTAGCACATTTCTACACACCAAGTTCCTCCTCCATTCACCTGAGCAACAATAATGCTTCTAAAATGGAACAAAATTAATTTCCAGGGAGGCTGCTGTAGCTGGATTTTTATTCTTGTGCTGTCTCACAAATCCAGAGCTATTTTAAGAGTATTAAATATTTCTTTACAGATATTATAGGGCTTCAAATGATAAGAGGACATAAATTGTGGGTACAGCTTTCCATTCTTACTTCTTGTTGCATATAAACTTTATTTGCAATCATGGCATAGTTGCACAAAGCACACAAGATGATTAAATACAGCTTCAACAACATGGTGGAACAGGATGAGCAAACCTCACAATACAAAAAGCCTCATCAGCCAGCATCATATTCCCTCATTACTAATTGCTGAACAGTTCAGTTCTTAAGACATTAAGGAGAGCATCTGATCGCAATCCTCATCACGTCACCACAAGATCCAAATAAGCAACTGCATCAGATGACTGCAACTAATGACGACATGATACATCTGTGACATCCTGCGACATCAATTATTGCAGCTTGGTAGTAGCACATTTGTGCCATAACAGTGTCTCATCACCACACTGCAGCACATGGGAGCACAAACATACACAACATGTTCAGATACTGAAGGATAGAAAGAGACACCAAAACCAGGTTTCCTGCAGTGTTCCACTTCAGAAATAAGCCACAGAAGTGACAGACATATGTTACGATACAGGTTTCATATCATCTGATGTTAAATACCTAAATTAAAAGGTTAGTCACTTCACTGCGCAGAGATATGAACAGAAGCATTGGTGAGTCAATTTCCAGCTGTAAATTAAATGACACTGCTCTTGCTCCCCCCTTGAAAGAGCCCAGGTTCTAAGAAATCTGGGGAAATTAGTGTAAGAGAAACTCACATTTAGTGGCCAGCATTTGACACGTTGCAATGATTTAAATAAACACTTGCAAGACAGTAACACATAGGGCACATGAGGACACACTGAAAGCATGCAAGTCTTTGGCTGGTGTAAATTAACACAAAACCACTGACATCAGGGAAGCTTTGCTGGTTTTAACCTGTCAAAGAACTACAGCAAAGCTAGTTTGATGCCTCCTTCACTTCCTGCAACAGGCAGACTCCCAGTAAGGGTCTATTCAAATAGTAATTAACAATTAACATTCAAACGTAACAAAACAACTAAAGATAAGTTGGTACTACAGTTGCTGGTACAGCACTTGCTTCATTTTGACACCCTCTCTTGACAACCAAATGTTAACAGTGATGGAATTTTCATAAAACGCATTTTTAACTGCGTGCAGACACACATCTCACCAACTTTAGTGAAAGACTGACTTCATTATCTTCCTATTCTCCTCCTAAAAAGAACTGCACTAGATTTACATGTTTTAAAAGTACATCAAACAAACTTGTATTTTTTTTTCTTCAATCAAACAGAAATTTTGGGGGGCATTATTTTTAAAATACTGTGTTCCTCTTTCCTTTAAGCTGCAGTTGAGAACTATCAACATCTCCCATACTACATGAAAATGATGAACAGAAATAAAACCAAGCCAAGTCTTCCAGCTCTGCCAAGAATTAAACACACAGTTCTACCAGCAGGAGAGCTTGCTTTAGTAACATAATCTGCCTCAGCGTGTACCTAAAAGGTTTTCTAAGGCCCCAGATTAAAGTTTAAAGGCCACTGGAAAAACCTCAAGACAGGGACAGCTCCCATAGGAAAAAATGCCATACATAATTCCCTGGGAGAAAGAGGTAATCATTACTTTCAGTAACAGTTATAATAGCAATAGTACCTATTTTTAATGATTCTCCCTCCCTAGAGATCTCAGCATGCTTTGTAAGCTATATAAGCACTAATTTAAGGTTCACTTAATACTGAAATTCAGCCATCTCTGAGACAGTTTTTCACAGTTGTGCTATACTGAATTACATTATAATATGACAAAAAAATATTAATTTAAAATCACAAGGGAAGTTTGGCAAAGCATTTGGAGAGAACATGTGGGCTTAAAAAACTCTCCACTGAGAAATGCCATGGAATATTTAACAATCTGGAATGGCCTGGATTTCTTGCTTGTAAAGTAGAAAAAGGCAGCACTTACAGCCACCTCCACTTACCATTAAAACAAACTAGGGAGGCAGTTAATCAGTGACTAAAAGAAAAATGCTCATGTACTGTATGGGAATAGCAGCTGCATAGAAAGTATGCAAACGGTATGGGCACAATTCGCACTGGAAGCAGATTTATCAGGAGGTGGATGGCTCAGCCCTTTAATGTTGTTCAGCATCACATTTATGCAAAGCATCTACTAACTAAAAAAAAAAAAAAAAAAAAGAAGAAGCATATACGTACGCTCAGGAAATACCAAGTAAAATTGAAACTAGAAGCAGAAGAAAAAAAAAATTAAAATCCCATGTTGCATTTTAATCAAGCCTTATGTTCTCCCCAGATCAGAAATTTGAGTATAACATCTAAGTTTAGAAATACTGCCTGTTGCCTCTATGCAACTCCTGTCATGCTCTCCCATTCCA